ATTTCTAGCGTAAGGAGCGGGGTGGATAGCGGATTTCCAATCAAGCCGTCACGAAGTTCAAAAACAAGAATCAAAGCTAAAAATTATGTGTAGCTGCTTGGCGCCCAGGTAGGCTAGGTTTTATAAATTGATTAGTTACGAATCTGTGTCCAATGCGTAGTATAATGATAATCAATGGTAAGATTTATGTGTAGGCCTTCATGCACGAATAAAAGATGACTAAATCATAGGAAGAAGTCTTAGATGATGAACTAGTGCTAAGAATGGTCGAGTTATTGTTTAAGTAATATATTTCGAATGAATACTTCATTGTGATGATTGCGATTTCATATTAATGTGATGTATGCTAGTAATTACTTCATTATAATGTATGTATGTAAATGTTGTGTTATGGATCACACTAATCATATATAAGAATAATTGAATGGGGTATGCCATGAATCATGACTTGATTGTATGATTATGTGAAAATACTTGAAAATTGTGATTGTGACTTGTTGAATGGATCGGATGTTGCATGCGTTCCGACACACTAAATATGGGATTGAGTACCACATTCCGGTATGTTAATAGTTTGAGTTTGAGTTTCATGAGAGGACAATTGACTTGTCGTAACTCTGTAGCTAAAAAATGTGAAACTGCACCTTATTTGTAAATGACGGTTAATATTGTTTTCCTCAGAATTGTTAAATGATTATGATGACCTATATTTGATTGTTCTACCATGTTGAGTAAACTGATTTGGTATCTCGTTGTTGAAACAATCAGAAAGAACAAGCCTAAATTGGAATGTGGTGCAGTATGTATCAAGCGTCGATCAAGGGTTGTAATATTTGAGAGAAAAGGGTTGTTCATGTGTTGCAATAGCGAGAAGTGAAGATAGCGTACGTGATATATACTTAGCTAGATTTCACTTGGAGAAAGGCATTCGTGAGTGGTTAGTTAGAATGTTTGTAGTTGTATTCATGGGCTCTTCTATGCGTTACAATGGTTAGACTATGATCAAGAACCTAGTGAGTAGGTTGACTGAGAAGGTGGTTAGTAGTAAGGGCCCTAATGTAATTATGAGATATTCGAGAGATGGTAAAGATGGAGAAGCGAGTGGTTATCTGCATGTTTTTGCTAGTATGTGTGATTTTGTACTGATACTACTGTTGCTATGCTTTTTTGGCATAGTCTAAGTGCAGGTTGGTGGTGTTTCATTAGATGAAAACGAAGTAAATCTCTATCAATTTCTATTTTTCCTTCTGCATGGTGGGAGTTGTGTCCTTGTTATTGCATTTCATACTTTGCAATCATAATAGCTCTTATACTTGTTTAGAATAGATCCGTGAGAATGTTAATTACTTTATAAATCTTAATTGCAGTTGTTTTTAAAGCTCTTGTTTATAAAAATATTGCATGAAATTCCTTTATTCTTCCGTTTTCTTAATTGTCTGCATAATTTTAATTGTAATTAGGATATAATGATTCTCCTATTTAGGTGTTAACATGTAGAGGTCCACACGGCTCGATGAATTAAATCCTGATAGTTAAATGCATAAAGTTAACTACATTGACCTCTTTCTCGTTGTGAAAATCACAAAAGACTTGCATAATTTGCTTGACTATTTATGTCAATTTATCATCGATGAATAAATTAAAACATCCTTAATAAAATGTGACGTTTGCTTGGGACAAAGAATAGTCGCGATGATGTAAACAATCCTAACATCATTAAATACGTATTAATTGAATTGGATAGAATGACATAATAATCTTATAATAACTTTGACCTATAAAATCACGATTGTTTTAGGCATATTGTGTAGCATTATTCGGTTTATGATTGATCAGTTTGATTTTCCTCCTAAAATTATTTTTTAAAAGTTTTGTGTACTATGGTCTTTATAATTATTTTATTTTGTATATATACACAATATAAGTGCAAGTCTTACAATAAATTAATTATAGAAAGTATTACTCCCTAGTTCCTCAATCTTAAAATGCGAGTTATGTTTTTCATTTTACATACCCCTTAACAAAATATTGATATTGATTAGGAGGGAAATTTCACTATTTCACTTTTACTTGTATCTTAATTTATACATTTTATCAATAATATGGCTAAAATAATAATTTTATTATGTCAATCGTTATTTTCTTAATAAATATGTCAATTTAAAAGTGGACTAATAATTATTAGGGACAGATAAAGTATTTTACCGGAAACATGAGAACTTATACATGCATTGAAGTACTATAAAATATCCTTTATTTTATTAAGTTCCTGAGTAGTTTTATTAAAATTTATTGCACGTTAATAATATAATATTATAAATATAGATAGTGCTAAATGACCAGAGAAGTTGGCCAGAAAACTTAAAATCTGTGATATTTTTTTAATTTTAAAATAAATTAATCTTTTTTTCCATTTTTAGTTAAATAGATATTAAAATTAAAATGATAAAAATATTTAAAAGGATAAAATAATATAGGTAAAATATCATTCGCCAAATTCTGGCCACATTTTTTGGCCAAAAAGAATTTTCCTTAAAAAATTAATCATGAATAGCCAAGTAAAACATTGATATTAGGTAATGCTATATGATCAGAATATTTTGTCCGTATTTTGTCAGAAATTTAAAAAATTTATAATATTTTTTATTTTGAAATAAATTATTTTTTTCTATTTTTAACTAAAATGTATTAAAATTAAAATGATAAAATATGTTATTTTATTATTCTGATAAATTCTAATTAAATTTTATGGCCAAAATTTTTCTATTTTTTATTTGGTGACATAATTGACTTATTGAACAAAACTGTAAACTCAAAGTTTTTTATGGAATATTAACGGTCGCCTTGGGAATAATTAACTATTTATTGTGGTGTATATATCAAGTTAATTTCTATTTTCAAAGAGTTAACTTCTTCAGATTCTCATACGTGTATTACACGTTTCCAAACTAATTTTCAAGTTTCTATGTTTCATCTTTTCTCGTTTTTGTATTTATGCAACTTTAACTTTACAAATTCCTAGCTCAAAGAGAGGAGAATTGCCTAAGCCTTATAAAGAGTCCACCCTTTTGTCATTCTTTGACATTCCATCTCACGTCCAGTGCTTAGCATCTGGTGCGTGGACAATTTTAATTTTGGGGATCCCAACATCGGATGAGACGGGGCCTGCTATGATACCATGTGAAATTAGGTCTTAGACCTAACTTACACACCAAAAGCTAGCTCAAAGGGAGGAGGATTACCTAAGGCGTCCACCCATCTCATTAATCAACGATGTGGGACTTTTGTCATTCTTTGACAGTGATGGATTTCAAACGTCTGAACAAACATACGTACTCCCTATAAATTCCAACTCTCATGAGATAAAGACATATACAGAAAACAAAAAAGTAAAGATGTATTCCTTCACTAATCGTAATGGTATAACTTACAACCCAACTACTTCCAAACACTCAGTCACCTTCGCCGGAAAAACAATTGAAACAACCGTCACCGACAAAGGCACCGTCGCAGATGAATGAGTACGTAACATTCTTTCCGTACATGGCAACACTCCCATGGTTGTTGTTGGCCTAGACATTGAATGGAGACCCCATGAAAGTTGGATGAGCAACAAATCCGCAACGTTACAATTATGCATCGATGAAAAATGTCTCATCCTTCAACTTCTCTACCTTGATGAAGTTCCTGAATCTCTAAAGGATTTTCTCAATAGTTCAAAGTTTACATTTGTGGGAATTGAAGTTGCGGATGATGTTAAAAAGTTGAAGAACGAGTATGGATTGAATTGTGCTAAGAGCGCTGATATTCGCGCGATGGCCTGGGAGGTTTCGTAGACCAGGGCTGAAAGATTTAGCTTTGGAAGTTGCTGGTTTAAATATGAAGAAGCCTAAGCATGTGTGTATGAGTAATTGGGAGGCAAGGGAGTTGAGTATGCGTGCCTTGATGCTTATGCTTCTTATAAGATTGGTCACAAGCTTTTGCTTGAGTGATTGAATTGGAAATGCATAATAGTATAGTCAGTACTTGTTTTGGCAGTTATCATTTGGTTATTTTGTAGTAAGAATTAATATCTTTTGTTGCACCTAGTGTTGGAGATCGATCGATAGATCTTAATTTTGTTGTGATGTTTTGAATTATCTATAATATAAGTACTCTTTTCGGATTTATAATGAAGGGTTGTGAAAATGTTTTGAGTTTAGTGAATTGTCCATTGGATTTAAAGTCACTGGTGATGTGTGTGTTTTCTCAACTGTGGAGCTCACATAAACTGGCAACAAAATTTTACTAAAGACCACTACATTTGTACCAACACTTTACTTTTTAGTCATTTGAATTTTGATCTCCTTCAAAGGACACATTGTGGTTGCCTGTGGCCGCACTAGCTCAAATATATTATTTATTTGAACATTATTTTTACGTGAATTCTCACTTTCTTCTCAAGATCTTATATATACCAGTGTTATATTATTTTTAAAAATTAATAAGCATATGGATGAGTGAACAAACACTAGGAGTATTATAATGTGATGATTATTCGATGCTTCTTTCTATCTGACGTTAGAATTTTAAATTTTAAATTTATCTTATTTTTATTTAATGAGATTAGATAACACCTTTTTAAATAGTTATTTATAAGATTTTTGACATTTTAAAAGACTTAAATATCAAATCTATCAAATTTATATTTAGATTAGTTTTTTAATAATAGTGCAATCATATTCTCGAAATTTTGAATATGCCTGCGAATGCAATATAACATATGATGAAATGACACATATGACAACCATATAACTTTTAGTTCATCTTTTGAGAGTTACCACTTTATTTTTTTTTAATGAAAGGACGATTAGAATATCTTAAATGTTTAATTTGTTGGATCCTATATATGATACTTTTGCAAGTTGTCCAAAAAATCCTAAATTGTTGTGTTTTTTTTTTCTTCCTTTTTTGTTTAAAAACGAAGAAAAAATTATAGTAAAATTTATAATGAATAATTCTAAAATTTACAATAACTAATTATTGTTAATTATATTTTGATAAACTAAATATCCTAATCCCACGTAATGATGTGAATTGTGATAAGTCTCAGGTCCAGACGTGCCCGCCATCTGCTGCCGGACAACTAGTCGACGACTCTATTCCGTCGCGCACCACAATTGCCTGCCCGGTGACAAAGCGGAACTACTAGCAGAAGTGAGAATTCGACTAGCGCCGCCGTAAGGAGCAATTTTTCTCTCATCAAAATTCTCTCGTTGCAATCCATCTGTATTTATATGTAAATGTATCATTTTTTAATGATGGCCTTTCCTTTTCCTTTTCGCTAGTAAGGAGGATTCGAATGCGTCTTACAATTTTCCATTTGATTCTCCGTAATAGATATTTCTCAATGAGTTCTCTAGCAAATTTGTGATTCGTATCATTTTGATCATATATACTGCTCAGTTATACTCAAATAGTTAATTTGGCTTTGAAGTTTTGGGAGTGTAGTGCACCGGACTGTCGTTTGGTCTCATCAGTAACAATAATTATGCATCTTATGTTCTTATATTGTCTTCTGGATTGATATAAGTTGAGCCTTTTTCATCGTGCAAGCAGGTTGTTATGAATGAGAAGGATCTGAATACGTTTAAATGTGTCACCTCATATGGGATCGTGAATTCTTCGTGGAAGTATTTCTCAGGAGAAGAAGTTGCAGTTGCCAGCCTTTCCAACTTTATTCATTGGAGGAAACCATGATGCATCCAATTACATTGGGGAGCTGTGAGTTGATTTTTATGTATTATATCTGTTCTCAATGTTGCATAGATACCTAACTTTGGTTGTTTACATTCTATTTCTCTATCACTATCAGTCTGTTGATCTATAGGTTATTAAATATTTGTTGTTGGTGGACCTCAGCTTCTAATTTTCTTTGGCTGGGGTCTGATGTGTCAGTCTTCCTAAAATCTGTTCATCGTTGTAACCTAATTGGCTGGTCACATTTGGCTTGTTAAGAAAATCTGCTGCACTTGAACTTGTTTAAGTTATTAATCAGTCCGATCTCTATATTTAGCAGTTAACTAATTCCAGAGTTGTTTGTTTGATAATTCTTGACTGTTTTTTGAGTGATGAGTGTTGACAATGGTAACAAAAATGAAGATGTGGGAAAAACACATTGCAATGATCTTGGATGAGTTGATTGATCCTTTTTAGTGGTGCTGGTGTATTCGTTGTGCTTTATTGTTTGTCGAACAGATTCATTTATTTCTTTTTATTTACTCACTGAATTGCTTCAAATGTTAACATATGGGAATATAAAGTAAAGGACTAATTGTTTACTAATCTATGATAGAATGCTATCTTTTCAAAAAAAGTCATTTCTGAATCAGGACATTATTTTCAATCACTCAGACAACTATTGCTCAATGCTAAATTGTTGAGTTTAGTATATGAATTTCTTGTTTTCATGTTGATCCATTCAGGTCCATTTTATTGTAATACATAATAATTTGTCTTTAAGAAAGATGATGGTTTCTCTACGAGTGGATGTTCTCTAAATCGTACTCTTACTCCTGCACGTGGACTACATCACAACAAGCCTTTAACAAGGATAAAAAAGCCCATGAAATATTGGATCTATCGTAAATGTTAAAAGGAACAACTAAGTCTTAATCCAACTAGTGGTGTGGCATATATGTATGCTTTGCTTCCATTAAGCTAAAACAAAAAGTCCTTTTGAGATAACTTTTATATGATTTTGGGTCTAACTTTTCCGTTTTTATTAAAATGACTATATCATCTCATATGAGCATATAAAAATTCTTCGTGGACATGACCATACCATCTCATATGACGTCATCATTTTAAACTCTGCATGCTGCTGCACCTCTTATGGGATGTGATAATTTATAATCTTAGGATATGAATGCATATCCATCTTATTCGCATTCATATGAGTCTTGAGTCTAGACAATGTGGATATGTTATTTTTGGAGACCCAACATTTGTTGCCATATAATGTTGTTGTTCTTACAACCATTTTACAGGACCTAACTACAGCTCTAACTCCAAACGCACTACATATTTTCCCCTAATAAGTGCAAAATTCCCATACTTATCCATCCTACCAAGAAAACTACTATAAGATTGATACATTTGTTTTTGAGTCTATGTATCTGCAGTCTCTTCCACTCAAAACATGCCTAGTTCCTTTTCAACCATGTTGTCTTCAGTATGCAATTTTGAATAATCTTGCATATCAGCTTCAAGCCCCCTTTAACTTTTTAAACTGCCAAACTTCCAAAGGGCTGCTGATCTTCTGTGGTAATACCAAATATATGCCCATGATGTTAAAGAAAAGTTCCCAGCATTGTCTTGAGAAGCTGCTATGGAAGAATACCTGATCAACTGTTTCCTGCTCAGAATTACATAAATAACATTTGCTGCACAGTGAATAACCTCTCCTTTGCAAGTTGTTCTTTGGTCATTCCAGGAAGGAGGTCTTATTCTTGGGAAGGACTGAAATAGAAAGCAAAGTAAAGTAAATATTCTACAAGCAGAACAAAAAACTAGAAGGTGTTTTTTTTTAAAGAATACTATTTAGCACCACAAAACAAAAACCAGAAAGTTAGAAACAGTGTCACGTTGTGGAGTGAAAAATATTAAGGTATCTAGGTCAGTTGTTAGACACATTTGCAAGTGTCATAGTTGAACTCATATACAAGTCACACTTGCAGCCTAATTAAATGTGGCATTTGTATTTCTATTTAACACATAAAAAACAATCATAGTTTTTATTTTTGGCAAGAAGAAGTACAAAATTCACTTGGAAGAACGTATCTGAGAGAGAATTCTTACCACCAAAAGACCCACCAAAGATTGATTCAAATATGTCAAAGTGATTGTGTGAACCGCCGCTTAGGAAAAAAATGAGAATGTCTCACTGGAGGCACATATTGACTCCAATAAGTAAACTCTCGTCTTGCATATTGGTTTCATGTTTCTAGAAACACTTGTCTATTCTACTTTGGAGCACAGTGATGATGCATACTTTGCACTTCCTGTCTCCTTCAGCATGAAAGAACACGTTGTGTATATGAAGCAGAGGCCTCATCTCAAGACATTCATGGAGAAAGTTGCAGATATGTTTGAAATCGTGATTTTTACTGCCAGTTATAGCATCTACGTGAGTCTACTGTCGGATATACTGGATCCAGATGGAAAGCTAATTTCAACTCTTATCATGAATTATGCATATTCTCAGGTGGTAGTTACACTAAAGATTTGACAATATTAGGTGCTGATCATTTAGGCATATATCTTAATGATTTTAATAATCCTTGTAGAAGCATCCATTTGTTTTAGGATTTCCTTGTTTTCTTGGATGTTGGACTGGGGGATGGGAGATTAAGTACCTGACTAATCTGCTCATGTGATTTCAGGGGGAGGGGGGACGGAAATAGAGATTCTATGTGGTATCTTAGAGTGTCATGCAACTTATTTGTATGTTGACAAGCATATTCACATTATTTGTTAAAATTATAACATTTCAGAAGGATGTCGTTTTCCCTTGAACCAGAAATGTGTGAACACATGGTCTTCTTAGTTAATCATAAAATGTCCCTAGAGAAGTATCTATTTTTCATTGAAATCCAGGCATTTTGTTTTTGCACCTGAAAGCATCTTTCTTTCTTGATTTCAGGTTTTCAGATTGCAAGTGAATAATGGAATTCCTATGATCAAGAGTTGGTGTGATGACCCCCATCAGACTCTGCACTTACTTCAGAACTTCCATTTCTAGTGACGCTGGCTGATGCTGATGATGTCTGTCCTATCATTGCTAAGAAATTCAGTAACAAGGGACACGAGTCCCTTGTCTCTTCCTAGTAGTTCCTCTAACTGTCCCTCATTTCTTACTTCATGTTAGACAATTTATCCTTCATTACTTGCTCATTATTATCCCTCATTGAGCCTTGTATAATTGTTTTTGCATTAAGAGTTAGGTCCCAAGGTCGATTTCCAATTAAGTCAGCTTTTGCTGCTCATTTTTTTCTCTATACCCTTTTGACAACCTTCTTCAGTCTATTCATTTGTCCCTTCAGATTGTTGCAAGAGGTTCTAAATGCACATAATATATCTACTTGAGCATAGTTTATCGAGTACTGTCAATTTGTGCAGTAGCATAAGCTTTCAACTTAATGTAAAATTGGCACCATAGAAAATATTATATGAATTAGTATATTAATGAATCTAATGAGCTACACTTGGCACGATAGAAGATATTATATGAATTAATATATTACTGAATCTAATCAGTTACACTTAAACTAAAGTAAAATGAGAAGTCTTATAATTTTATTAAAGAGCTTCCAAAAATCATCTCTTGCGCAGATTGAAACAAATGTAGAAACTATTTTGGGTTATATATTAAGATAAAGGTTCATTGAAGTTGAAGATGAAATAGCATGCAAAGGACTGCATTAGTACATGTTAATTTCTCCTAACAGTATGTATCAGTATCAGTTGGTATATATAATTTCGTTGAGGAAAACTGCTAAACTTATCTAAAAGCATAAATAAAACTACTGCCCGTATCGTCTGTTGGGCATGGATTCTACTAGTGCTAGATTAAACACCTTCTTTTGCCGGGAAACTGTCTTGAGTTATTCATTAAAGAAAGAAGGTGATTAGTTTATGTTAGAAGCTGTTATCGTTATGAGGTTATCGTTATAACACAAGGAGAGTAATAAGAAATAACATGGCTGATTATCAGCTATAGCCTTGAGACAATTGTTCAATTATTTACCGTGTTAAGTGCAAGTAAAACTTTATTTCTAGAGTTCCTCAATAATGGCTTAGATTTCCCTTTTGTGGTCCAAGGAACATGCTGAAAACCTCAACATGAAAATACCACTTAAACTACAATGGTCACAATTTGTTCTAATCTTTGATTCCTATTCTTTTATTTTAGCTAAACTGTAGTTCACTTTCTTACATTGTTGATCTTTTCCGAGCTGATGCATTTGCAGACTCTTTATTGTGGTGGAGATATTCCCACAGACAGTGCAGATGATATTGAGGAACTGAAAGAGGTTGATCTGCAGAAACTTAGAATGAGTTAATGTAAATCTCATCTTTCGGTAATGCTTTTTGCAATTTCTATTTTTAATTAACATTCATGATTTGTTCCAATGTAACAAATTAAAATTTATATGGAAAGTTGATGCTATAAATGTGCTGTTATTATGACAGATGAAGACTGCAGTTTTTATGGGTTGGCTTTGCTTCATATGAGATTATTGACATTCGAATCTGTGTCTCCTTTCCCGTGATTCTTGACCTTTGTTCCTCCAAAAATGATTCTTAACAATTCTGACATCAGGAATTCAATAGTAAATTTTTTAACTTTTTTACAACTGTTTCATTTTTAGTGGTTGAAGTTTGCAAAGGGTGGGCAGAAAGGTGAAAATTTGAGGACAGTTGTTTGCACTGAGGCATCATTGTCACTGAAAATGATTATAGTAAATTAGTCAGCAAATGAAAAGACTGTAACACAGGGATCGTGTTCCTTTACTCTCAAGCACAACACTTCGGGGAAATTAAATGAACATGCAAGTTTGGAGAGGGATCTCTACGTAAAAGAATAGGTAGTTGAGTGTTATCTCATTAATTTAGCATGGCAAGTTGCCTTGTCCAATTCTATGCATTTATAGTTTGATTGCAACTGCATTGGGCTTCTAATACTTGATTGGATCTTTTACTTGCATTTGGGCTGTGGACAGTCCAATACCAATGATATCTATCTAATGTTCAGAACACTGAGAATATCAGGTGAAAGGAAGCAAAAGTAATATGGGAAGTTGCTTAATTTCTGATTCAGTCATTAAAAAAAGTAGAAAGTTGCTTCATTCAATTTCTTTTTCTGTCAAAAGTATAAAGATTGTCACCTTGCAATTGATACCCTTTTATATCAGAATGAAAGGAAGTAAATCTTGCAAAGTGGGAAATGTAATCCATGTGCTCTACCTCTCCTTTCAACTAAATATTACGAGGCTTCATTAACTTACCAGCTCTTTGTTTGATCTCAGCTCCCTAACCTTAAACCTATAGTAAATGGTGAATAAATGTTGTTGGAATCTGCAGTTATTTAGTTTTAGTGACGTTTTAGCGGAATCAGTAAAACCTCACTATTACTTTTACTTTTTAATTTAAAACACAACGTTATCAATTGTTTATAGTAGCTACTGTATTTACATACTTTTCATGGGATGCAGCAATTTCTCTCGAAAGTCATTGTTGTACTGCATTTTTTCCTGTTATAGTTTGCCAAGGTTGTGCTCCTGTATTTCAAAGTGGCCTGACATGATATGGTGTCTTCAAGAGTAGTGGAATCAGCTATCCATTAACATTGAGTGGTCTTTTTTGGGGGGTCGATAAGGTCGTCAATAATTCATTTAGGTGAAGAAAAGTTGATTTTTCCCTACACTTGTTTCACGCTACGACTTTTTTGTACATTTGCCCTGACAATCTTCATGACTAGTTTGTTTTATGGACAAACATAAAGGTACCATCCCAATTTATTTGCCTAGGAAATAACACATTTCAACGAAATCATGAGTAACCAACCACCAATTTTTGTTGCAGGGGACTTATATGGATTGAATATTCTGCCACCAAAGAGACCAAGGTCAATTCATCTGTTTAACTTTGACTCTGCTGCTGGCTTATCCAATGGATTCCAGAGTAGCATATATCATTTCCAGTAAGCATGATCATTATGAAACTTTTTACTTCTACATTTGCGCTTCCAATAATTTGTCTGTATACCTGTCTTTGCTGAAAAATCTATAGCCTCATTTGTGAAATTATAGCTAGGCATGTGGAAGGTGAAAAGTCTTGGATTCAGGACACAAGTCTTTTACTTTAGTTGATCAAGTAAGTCGGGACAAAAGTCTTTTCAATACTGAAGTGACGCGATGCTTTGGCTCACCTAGAATTAGCTCCAATAATTTATTCAACTTCCTCTCTAGAGTTTTTACCGTATGAAATGCTCCATAATTGCAGAATGTGCCCGATGCTCCTAACAAATGGCACGTCCCCTACCAGCTAATATTTACTGCTTAGTAATTTAAGGATTATGTCATGGATGATGATTGATCTCATAGTCAACAACTCTCCAACTTAGTTGCAGGTACTGCACGTCGTTAAGCAGAAACACTTATCTTCTTTTATCCTAAGCTGTCTAGCTAATTATGCTGCGTGTTTTGAACAAAGACAGGGATATCTTAAATGGTAAGACTTGACTATTATGCTTAGTGCTTAGATACATCAATGTGAACTTTTCAGATGTAGTAATATCTCATGAGAACAACTACTAACAAGTATTATGACTCATATCTAGTTATCAATTCATCATCATTTTTTCCTGTCCAATTTGCAACTTTAAAATTCTAGATGTTAGACCTCTATAAAACCCACTAAATCATTAAAGACTCTGGTTTGTATACAAGTTTAGTATCTTTTCTCTTTTTACCTTGTACTCATGTGTTGTTGGACTCCTTTTTTGCCCCTTTCTGCTTTGTCTTTCTCCACCTCTAATTTGTTATCTTTCTAATTTTATACTATAGTCTATAAGGCATTATCATTAAAGCCCCAGCTGAAAACCGACCAATCCTTTTTAGTCTAAAACTAAAGAGGAAAAATGAGTCAAAATTCTTAGCTTTCAATAACATAGAAATGTCAAACGCACTAAGCTTCACAATTGCTTCTTTTTCTTTTTCAAGCAAAGCTACGTGCAATTAAAGTACTTGTGAGATTAATAAACCACATCTTCTTAAGCTTAATCCTACACGTGTTTGCAATTAGCCTTGTTATCTCGTCCTTTTTTTTCCCAATAAACTAATCTTTTGTTCCTTTCTATCTCAGCTTGTAGTGGCCTAAAAGGTATTTGGTTCATCTTTAATAGTCTTTGTTAAGTTTATCATTGATTTGGAATGAAGCCACAATGAAACATACATGTTTGGGTGAGTGAGAGAACACAATGTGGGACCAATACTAAAGAGATATGTTTATGATATTATTATTATTATTATTATTTTGTTTTCTTATCTTGTGATTTAATAATTTAGAGGTTCCCAATTGGAGGTAGACTTCTTTGATAAAGAATGTGAGTTTTCTAAAGGAGACAAGTTTTACCCTAAGTTTTGTCAAACTATATTATTGCTAAGAGCTCTAAAAGCAACAATTGTTGTGTCTTACAAATAACAACAAATACTCCTTTAGTGGTGCCCCAAAAGTCCACACTAGGTGACACTTATAATAAAAAAAAATAATAATAATAAGTGAGAGACGGTATCGTGGTTGTCGTCGTCGTCTGCATGTGCTAGTTTAGAATGGTCCACTACCCACAATTGCACCACATGATGAATTTTATTTTATTTTGATATATAATATAATAGAAACAAGTGTTTGATTTCTCATATTCTTTACAACATGGTAAAAATTTTTAAAAAAATATCTTTGTTCCATACCCTTGAGACTATTTATAACGAGTCAATTAAGAAGTCTTAGCTATATTAGCATAAAATCATTGATACAATCATCGATTTTCCTGAGATGTCACAATTACCGCAAGCAAAGATACTAATGACTAGAAAAACTTACTTATCATGCTATTCCGTCCAAACTTGATTGAGAAAGAGTTATAAACGCAACAAAACTATCAAATCAATCCGATAAAGATCAATTATAAAGTGGAAGATTAACTTGAACGGAGTTAGTATTTTGGAAGATTAAAAAAAGCGATCGATCACATGCAACAATAGATTAAAATACAATAACAATGCTGTTTATACGAATATCTTTTGGTTACTACAACATACTTATATAACCGTCGTCATAGTAAAATGACTGTTATAGAAAGATTTGATCGTACTGGTATAATTTTTGAAACATTTTATCTTTGGAAAGCTAATACGGCAGTGGTTCAGTCGTCCTTTGGTACACACAAAAGAAAAAGCTGAATGCCACACGATTGGCATCTTTGAATGGCCCAACAATAACTGATCCAAATTTGAATATGAGAATCCTACTTATTTCTTTCTTTGTCAATTTGTCATAGCCATTTTTCACACTCTATTTGGTCAGCACGCATGTTTTTTTCCCTTCAATCTTTCTTTTCGTGGTATGGTAAAAGCCGTATACTCTTGTTACTATTATCTCTTGTATTATCCTCAAAAATAGTAGCGTGACATGACCAACTCTCATTTTCTGCCGTCCGTTCATCTACGTGTAACAGATTCAGAATTTTCAGTCATAGTCGATTAAAATATAATATGAAAAATAATTTTTGTCATGGATAAATAATGTAATTTTTCATTTAAAGAATGAACATCTTGACCCTGACTGGCTCCGCTCCTTGGTACACTCTGTCAAAGAACAAGAAAACATATTTTAAATTATTTTGGGTTTGAAAAGTCGATTATAATATGGAAAAGTTATAACTTTGTCAATTATGCAACTTTTAATGTTTGTCTATAAGTCTATAGTAAAACAATAAGATTCATGAACCTCCATATTTTAAAAAAAAACATATCAGCAAACTCTGGAGATGTATACGGCAAAAGCATTTAAGCCGTGCAATGCAATAGTAATAGTACTTTTTTAAATCAATAATTCTTCTCTTCGAACATTATAGACTATTGGTCATGTAGGGGATAGGTGTTCTTGGAATTTGCCACATGCTAGCCTAGTATATATATATTAATGTGGATCAAATTATACTTCTTTTTCGTTTGCGAAAGCAAAAAACACTACGTCTTTTCTTCGTACAATTATACAATACATGTGTTAGTGTGAAATTTTATTGTTGAATGCCTTGAATCGGACCCGCTACAAACAGAAAGGACGGGGGTCTCGCTCCCCTGGCCTGGGGTCCGGGGGGGGGGGGCCGGAGACGCCCCCGGCCCGACGGTATACAATGTTGTTGTATTGGGCCCTTAATTTTCTGTCAATTCTGTATGTTGGGCCCAAGCCTGTTAGGGCGTAGCTTAGCACTTTATATATATATAGACGCTATGGCAAACCCTATTCTGTAATTCTGTTTTTGCCTCTCCATAATAAAACTGCTCCCTCTCTTCCCATGGACGTAGCCAATTTATTGGTGAACCACGTAAATCTGTTGTTTTGTTTTTCGCGTTTATATTTTCTCGTATTATCTCAAATTCCGCACAACATTTATATATGAGAATTGGTGAATAAAACGATACAATACATATGATAGTGTGAAATCACACACGTGAGACGTGCATAAGTTGATCTGAATACTATGATCAAAGAAAAAATATAAACTAAAACAAATATTACTTTTTATGGTGTTTTTTGTAGGCTTTAGTGTGAATGAGAGGATGCCTTTCGGCAATGGTGGAGTCAAACAGTTTGTAGACAAGTTGTCTTTGTTTTGTGTAAATTTTAACACTTGTTAAAAGAGTAGTAGTAAATCATTTACAATCATAATGCTACTACTATTTAATCACACTTGGAAATATTGCTAAAACTTTTTGTCCTTATCTTGTGTTTGGTTAGGGCAAGGATAAAACTATTTGCTATTTATCTCATCTAGTGGGATTTTCATTTGAAAAGACATTCACTTAAAACACCATTAATTTAATCAACCTAACCTTTTTACACATCCAAAAAAGGGCAGTATACAAGATTAGGTAAATTACTATCCTCTCAAATTTATATGATATTATTTATTCACTCGATTCATTTTTTTATTTGTTCAATAATAATTATGAATTCGTGTAATTCTATAAAAGAGTTACAAGTGAGGGAAAAATGTTCACAACGGCTTTATTCCTATTTTTATATAATAGAGAGGTTGTTTCTGAATTGAATCTTCGAATAGACAATGTAAACGAACTCATGTGATGTTTTGCACCATCCTAAAAAAGTTTTCAGTTTTACTCATTAACTTTAACGTATCAAGAAAAGACAATTTTTTATTATTTTATAGAAAAAGCAAATGACAAATAAAAGTGAATAAAAAGAATACTTTTAAAATTTGTTCAATCAAATGTATCAGATTTTAAAATTTAAAATTTTATTCATAGTCACATAAAGCTTGTTTTAAATACATCAAACTTTAAACCTTTAGAGCTAAAGTATTATGACAAAAAAATATATTTTATAAGATCTTCTAGAGGAATAAAATTAGAGATGAAAATAGTAAAAGGGGTTCTCCAAAGAAGAAATTTTGTTTTATTTTTAAATTTAAAAAAAAAAAAAGGCACATAACATGGGAAATAAGCACAAATGCTGATTGCAGTTTAGGGTATGCCAATGAAGGGATCTGAAAAATATATAATTGTATGATTCCCCAAAAATTTCAGTGTATGTTTCCACCTTTTTGCTAAGTTCCATAGTTGCATTACCCTACCACTTACTCCCCAATTGGTCTGCCTACAAAGTACAAACAATTAATTAATGGCAAAATTACAATCTATAATTACTGTATTTATTGATGCATTAAATTTGAGTGAGTGCATGATATATTTATCGTGTTTAGATGTTTCGATACAATAAAATTAAGTGAACGTATACAATTACTTAGTGTTCAAATTTTCGAACGAATGCATTGTAAGGAATACGAAAATACTAAAACTATAAGTATTAATGGTAATTCTACTTTAAACTTTAGTTCTTTTATAGAATTTTCCCCTTTAATTAATTAAGTCTTGAATCTTAATTTTTCTTTTTAATTTATGTAGCACGTTACTAACTTTGAGAAAAATAAAAAATATATATTTAACAGATGAGGGAAGCATTTCCAACAATTGTGACAAGCACTAGAGAGGAGTAAGAAGAATCGAAATTCTTGGGAATATCATATCGCACCAAATTATATATCGATATTCCATAGTTTAGAAATTAGAATGAAGTGCTAGACAATATCAATGCGTGTTGCACTAGAATAAATAAGATTCTTTCCATCTTTTTATTACTTATTTTAAATTTGAATCGTAAAAATAAAACTGATATAGAAAGTGTTTCTCTTTTCGATTAACTTTTACGTGCTATGTAATTTAGATCCCAAGCGAGTATCGACCGCACAATTTTCTTTTAAAAAAAAAAGGGGAGAAAAAGGGGTGCATGGTAGATATATTCCATAACAAGGAGAATTTTCTTTCTGTAAGCCACATTCTTTATATGCAGCTCATGAGGGATTTGATACGCAGGGGGGAGTATAACTTTTAGCGGCATATATATTGACATTAATAAAGAAGGTTAAAGTTTACCAGTATTAGTTAAAGGCTATTACAATCAATATCTCTAAAGGCTTTAGGGACATATACATAGAGTGTTAATTGCCGCTAAAGATACATATTTAACGGCAATTAAGAATTAATTATCGCTAATTATATTTTTGAGGTAGTGTAATTTTCATTATCCCCACAAAAAAAAAATGAAATACAAATAATTATAGTATTCCATGTGAATTTAGATATTAATTTCTTTAACTTTTGTAGACA